AAAGCAAACATGAGGCCAAATGATCAAAACTCATAAAAATAACTTTAATAAAATGGAATGAAAATATCCAGTTAAAGTGGGGCGTCTAGATCAAGATGCATTTTCTGTGTTTATCTTGGAGCGCAAAAAAAAAAACTATATAAACTGAACAGGAAATAAGATGATCTGTCACTGGAATGAGAGTTTTTAACCTAAAATAAGATTATTACATATTATGCACTTAAAATAAGATAATACAGTCGTTTTTTTTCATATTTTAACTGTTAATCTTAGTTAATCTAAAAATTGTCACATATACCCGCTCAAATCAGGACACCAGTGTAGCATTGCTACCTATGGACTGAGGGAGATCCTTAAATATCTGCATCAGATTTTGCAATTTCTTTTTGTTTTACACACCAGTGTAAAACAAAAATAAATTTAGTTTGGAAACAGCTTACTGGACAATTTCATCTTTTAAAGGTGCAGCCTTGAAAAATAGTAAAAATGACTTATAGATTTACAGTTCTAACAATTAACTAAGGTTTCTATCATTACATTTGCTTTTATTTGTTCACGTTTCCCAGTGGGTTTTCCTTTTATTCCACTCTGGATTCTCATGAGAGTAGTCTTTTTGTTCACTTCATAAAAAAAAACTGTTTAGAAAAGTCTGGTATTCATTCTTTTCCTGCTTTGTGTGTCAACTCTCACGGTTGCTAAGCAACGGAGCATACAAGTAGCGAAAGCCATGGAGTATGGAAGCAAATCGTTACCATATTTCACATAAAAAAGCCTTTTTTAGAAATGCTTTTTCATTTTAAGAATGTGGCTGGATTACTTGACTCATAAATGAAATTAGTAATCAATTGAGCTTTGGCTCACTTCGAAGGTCCAGCCCAGGTAGACCGCCTCCTTGGAGAAGGGAGGCGGTCTACTGTTCAAAACAGGCACGTGCAGAGGGGGGGGCTAAGGGGGCTTGAGCACCTGCCCCTTTTGCTCCATGATCCCATTGTGCCCTTTTGGTCCCTTTTTTTTTTTTTTTTTTATTTAAAAAAAGAATCTAGAAATCAGTAACATTTTTAGCATTTACCCTTAATTTAAGTAGGTAAATGTGATGATTTGCCAATGGAATGAGTATTTTTACTCTTAAAATAAGATATTTAGATAATATGCACTTTAAATAAGACAATGCAATGTGTTTTCCTATTGTAAACTGTCTTGTTCCATTGGCAAAATGTCTCTTTTACCTCCTCAATTCGAGAACAAACGCAGGTTTGGATTTATTCCAGTGTGGCGGCTCCATGTGACGTAGAAGGTGCCCTTTGTCCAACCTGACCACCTGCCCCCAATAATCTCTTTGCACGCCACTGGCCCAGTGGCCCTCAGTCTCACACTCATTGCTATGGGATTATTACAGCCTTCTGAAAACAATCTATGAATGGAAAACTTTACATAATGTAACAACCGAGGTTCTTCATTTTAAAACCCAAAATAATTAACGATAGATGACGTGTGTCGCACAGAATACAGTGAAGAAATGATGTCACTGTAAATTACGCTAGTGGGTGTTTTCCTTGATTTCTGTGAGGTGGTCTGTGCTTAAATGACACCTAAATGATTGTGGGATACGTCGTTAGCACCACTGAGGGACATCACATGCTCCTTAACCCAAAGGAGCCTTGATAGGAGGCATATTCTTCTCCTACCTCCTTGCTTCCTGCTAGCAATGTACCATCTGTACCATCAGCTCATCTGTGCAGCCAGGTATACATCTGGGTCGCCCTCAGTCTTGTTTCCCCTCCAGTGCCTGCCTCCAGCTGTCAGTGGGTCAGCAGTCCATCACAGGGAAACTCAGAGGAGTCAATATGTATCCAGTCAGTCTGTAGACTGTTGGAGAAAAGCCCAGAACTTCACGGTCAGTGATGAGAATGGAAGTAAAGACTTGATATATTGGATTTATTAGTTTAAACGTCATTCTGATTGTATTTATTTGTCTCCCATCAACACATCGACTGCAGAAGAAACTTTATTGTCCCTCAGCGGGAAAGTCACCTTAAATATAGGGTGCGTTCAAATTCTTGGGCTGCGTCCTCTGAAGGCCAGATTCGAAGGACGATTACGTCATAGTTCGGTGCAGAGGTCTGTTCGGACTCCAAGACTCCTCGTTATGCGACCTTAAAATGCGTCCTTCTTTTTGCCCGATTTGAAGGACGGGTCTGATGTATCCTCTGTAGCCTTGGATATCCCAGGATTCATTGCGAGACCAAGCAGTAGTTCCATCTGGTTATAGAGTCAGATATGTGGCGGTAATGTTTGATTTATCTAAAGGTTTTTATCTGTTACTGTGTAAATGGGTTTGGCTGGAATTGAAGGACAGATTCTAATAGATCTGCAGGGGGGGGGGGACTATAAATCTGATAGGAGTTTGCAGATATTCTTTATACATACATTATTTAGATTTACTTATATCTTTCTACCCCTTTTATAGAATAGAAAATCTGGGGAAATTCTGCTGTTTACTGCAGCAGAAAGATTATTGAAAAAAATGGTCACACAAATGAGGACCTTAGAAAAATGTATAAGAATAACATAAAAGGGAAGCCCTAGGGGTTCCACAGAGGTACTGCATGGGGGTCAAGAAAGTTTTGGTTGATCAGACTTTTTTTATATTCTCCTCGGCAATTTTTCCACTAACTGAAATGTCCTTAAATCCACTTTAACATGAATCAACAGACTGTAGTAAACAGATAAATGGAGGCAGAAGATGTCTTTCAGTCATCAATGCTCACATTGATGACTCTTTCAAACTGGGCACCGTTTCATTCACAACACCTGTCCCATCAACCAGGAATCAGAAATACTTTAATAATCCCAGGGAGGGATTACTTTAGTTACATTACTTCATCTGTAATAGAGTGACTATAGAACCAGTTTGATAGAACGCTATTTAATACGATATAATTAGGGGGTCCCTGCTTTATCTCTCCATCAGTTTGGGGTCCTTGGCCTGGAAAACATTGAACACCCCTGATCTAGACTTTTAGACTTTAGACAGATTTTATTTGTCATTTTGTTAACACCAGTGTAAAACAAGAAGAAATTTAGTTTGGAAACAGCTCACTGGACAATTTCATCTTTTAAAGGTGCAGCCTTGAAAAATAGTAAAAATGACTTATAGATTTACAGTTCTTACAATTAACTAAGGTTTCTATCATTACATTTGCTTTTATTTGTTCATGTTTCCCAGTGGGTTTTCCTTTTATTCCACTCTGGATTCTCATGAGAGTAGTCTTTTTGTTCACTTCATAAAAAAAAACTGTTTAGAAAAGTCTGGTATTCATTCTTTTCCTGCTTTGTGTGTCAACTCTCACGGTTGCTAAGCAACGGAGCATACAAGTAGCGAAAGCCATGGAGTATGGAAGCAAATCGTTACCATATTTCACATAAAAAAGCCTTTTTTAGAAATGCTTTTTCATTTTAAGAATGTGGCTGGATTACTTGACTCATAAATGAAATTAGTAATCAATTGAGCTTTGGCTCACTTCGAAGGTCCAGCCCAGGTAGACCGCCTCCTTGGAGAAGGGAGGCGGTCTACTGTTCAAAATCCTGGGCTGTGTCCTTAGAAGGCCAGATTCAAAGGACGATTACGTCATAGCGCGCGCCGAGGTCTGGTCCGATTCCAATACTCCTCGTTATGCGGCCTTAAAATGCGTCCTTCTTTTTGCCCGATTTAAAGGACGGGTCCGATGTATCCTTGATATCCTTGGTTTACCCAGAATTCATTGCGAGACCAAGCAAGCTGTGATCAGAGGAAAGGTTACATAGAGCCGAACAGTGGTGAAAATTGGAAGTTCAGTTTAATCTAATCCAGTCTGTGAATAGTTCCGTCTGAGATTAATGAAAATAGTTGTTTTAATGGTTATAGAGTCAGATATGTGGCGGTAATGTTTGATTTATCTAAAGGTTTTTATCTGTTGCTGATTAAATGGGTTTGGCTGGAATTAAAGGACAGATTCTAATATATCTGCAGGGGGGGGACTATAAATCTGATAGGAGTTTTATCTTTTTATTGCTGTTTTGCACAATATGCTTAACTACGTATTTTTTGTTGTTGAATATTAGAGATTTTGCAGATATATTCTTTATACATACATTGTTTAGATTTACTTATATATTTCTACCCCTTTTATAGAATAGAAAATCCCTTTATTGTCCCACAATGGGCAAATTTACAGCAGCAGAAAGATTATTGAAAATGGTCACACAAATGAGGAGCTTAGAAAAATCTATAAGAATAACATAATAGGGAAGAGTTAAAATATAAACAATAAAATCCTGTAAAGTGTTTTAACAATATAAAACTGGAGAATAAATAACCAATATGCAGCTATGGACATTTTTACAGTAATGGATATTAGAAAATAGCAGCAACATCAGAGATGTGCAGAATGACAGCAGCAGGTTATTTAACTGACTAAGGTTTCTATCATTACATTTGATTTTATCTGTTCCTGCTCCAGGTGGTTGGAACATTTATTCCACTCTGGATTCTCATGAATGCAGTCTTTGTTCACTTTATAATAAAAAAGAAATAAATAAACAGTAAAGTTTATTTTATAGTTTTCATTTACAGCCAAAACTCTTCCGGTCTCCTTATTTTCAAGGACTTCGGAGGATCCAGTCTAGGTAGACCGCGTCCTTGGAGGATGCGTCCCAGGATTTCGAACAGAGCCCAGGAATTGGACCGCAGCCTCATCCTGTACAGCAGTCAGTTCTTTCCCCGCCCATTGTGTGACGTGTTTGCGCGTGTCTGACAGGTGATTTGATTGGCTGCCGCTGGTTGGTATCACTTCTTCAGCTAGCAGCAGAGCTAGCAGCCTCCTCTGCTCTCCTCTCCAGGTGAGCTCGCTTCATTGTTTCCCGCTCCGTTTACAGTCAGAGGCCTGCTGCTGTTGTTGTTGTTGTTTATAAAGTTAGTTGTTGAAGCTCAGCTATGGCAGTCAGCACTGAGCTCCGGGTCCCGCCTGCTGTCAGCCACCGCCGGCCGGCCGGGCTCCAGGGACTGGCTCTGGGTCGGTGATGGTACCGAACCGGGCAGCTGGTTCGGGGAACATCTGGTTCCAGGAGCAGCTGGATGCGGCGCAAATGAAGCGGAACCATCTGTGGATGAGTGTTTGTAGTGTGGGGGACAGAGATGAGGTGACACTCATCATCTGTGTTTGTTTACTGAAAGCTAAAAGCTGCTTTCTGTTGGATCTGAGCTTCAGAGGCGGAAGTAAATCCTCCTAAATCAGCCCGTTTCTCTGCATCTTCCACTAAATGAAATTACATTATTATTATTTTAACTAATTATTATTATTAGGTTCATTCTGACCAGCCTGTCGGTGACACTAAATACAACCAGAAGGTGAGTTTTTCCAGTTTGGGGTTTAAATTGAGCCAAAGCTCCACGTCATCCTGCTAGATGATGAATATTGTCTGTAAATTTGAATCTTGTTCCTTATTTCTGGACTTCCTGCTTCTGAACGCCCTGAGTCAGGCTGTTTCCTGTGGTTGTAAAGACTGAGAGGTTTTGCTCTCTCAGCTGAATGTCTGCCAGCAGTGACAGAAGCATGAAGGAGGAAGGAAACTGCAGCTCGTTCAATCATCTCATTAAGTCCTGATTCCTATTTGAACGCGGCTTCTTGTTTCTCTGCAGACGGTGATGAGCTGAAGGTGAGGATGGAGGACGACTGCAGACCTCTGCTGGGCTCAGAGCCCTCTGGGGAGGGTTTATCGCAGAGAGGCTCCGCTGGCTCCCTGGACAGCCGAGCTAAAAGGTAGATTTCCCCGAACCTCCGCGCCTCCCGGTCAATTCTATTCAGTTTATTTCTATAGCTCCAATTCACATCATGTCATCTCAGTTCACTTTCTAGTTCACCAGATCATCCAGTCAGATTGATTCAAAGTTTTCTATCTAAGGAAAACCAGCTGATTGCATCGACTGATTGACTCTTCAGCAATCCCTCACACTAAGCATGCTTGTAGCGACAGTGGAGAGGAAAAACTCCCTTTGGACAGGAAGAAACCTCCAGCAGAACCAGGCTCAGTGTGAGCGGCCATCTGCTGAGGCCCACTGGGGTTCAAGGAGACAGAAGCAGACATAGAAAAAGAAGCATAGATACAAAAGGCAACTGACTGACCTCTGACCCATCGGTGGGGAGATGTTCTGCTTCTTTTACCAACTAAAAACAAAATAATCACTGAGCTCTTTATGAAAATAGCTTTGCTGCTACTCGTCCTAAAAAAACAGCAAAAATGACGTGTTGAGTGACTAGAGAATCTTTAAAAGGACTGGAAGTGTGTTTAAAACGCTTAGCTTAGCTTAGCATAGCACAGGATTTCCAATCATATTTAATCAGGAAATGAAACTTGTTATGAGGCGAGTAAAAAAACCTGCAGAAGATCCGGTATATGACGGGAGCTCGCCGGTCTGGATCCCTGTTTTCAGGAAGTTCTCAACCATCCGGCTTCCATAGAAACTAAACGCACAGGAACCAGCGCTGAGGGACGACCTTACTGGGTTTACAGAAAGTTTGGATCATTTGAACTTTCCACTTCCGTCTTTTATAGCGTTGCGTGGCAGGATCTAACTGAGAAATGTCTTAGGAAGTCAAATAAAACAGCCTGGGATCTGTTCTGCTTTAGAGAAAATAAATAAACACGTTTATCAACCAAAAAGTGAGTTTTTCCTTTAAATTCATCCTCTGACTGAAATTATTTTGTTTCTAATTCATCCAGTTTAAATGTGGTTATAGGGGAGTTACTCAGAGTTTAATAAATACAGGTTTATATGATGATTTTATTTTATATTTATTTAGAATCCTAACTAACTTCAAGACAAAATATTTATGATGTTTTTATTTTTATTTGAGATGGAAATAATTAAATGCTCCAATAGTTTCAAAAAGGTTGGGAAGCACTGATTTAATCACCGTTAAGATGTGCTGTGATAGCAGGAGGGGGAGGGAGGAGGGGCGGTTCCTGCTGCTGTGAGGCGACCTGCAGGCCTGAGGATGTTTTACCTTTGCTTAGGGCCCCAAGTTCCTGGGGGCCCCATAAAACTCTGTTTACATGTATGGTTAATACAACTATTCCTTATTTGTTCACATTAATTATGTTTTTGGCTAAAATGCCATCAGAACGCTGATAATATTAAGTGTGTCTCAGCCCCCCCCTTCAGTGTCCACCATATTGGATCAGTCCATTTGCTGCACATGTTCAGAAAGGTCCAAACAGACAGCAGCAAACCATTTGAAAACAAACCATGCAAAGAGCAGTGTTGCCAACTTAGCGCTTTAGTCGCTATATTTAGCCACTTTTCAGACCCCTCTAGCACTTTGATTTCTAAAAAGCTCCTAGCGCCAAATCTAGAGACTTTTTTCTGCTACTGGAGACTTTGGAGACAACATCTAAAAGCAGCGAACTCTGCTCTCCAGAGCCAGTAGATTGGTAACCCCGCCTCCTGCTCTCCTCTATCTTGTCTGCTGTCATGATTCATGCAGCTATTATTTCATCCAAATGAAAAATGGAGAACAGATAAGCAGATCATGGCTTGTCTACAGTGAAAAGAAGGACTGGGTTATTTACTTTGGCCTTTTTGGAAACACAGGAAGGAGCAATCAGCTAAGTGAGCTTAGTGCTTGGAAAAAATCTTTCATTCCTTTAGAGACAGCATGAAAAGTCAGCTGAGTACAAAACAGAGAGAGGAAAACAAGAAGAAAAGGAACAAGAAGAGAGGGACACAACCTAGAACAGATAATGGATGTCTATTCTATTAACATTTCTACATCTGGAGAATGGGGCTGTTTGATGTCTTCTCCATTCAAAGGGCCCCTGCCTGTCTTTGCCTAAATCCTTCCCTTGGTTAACAGTCCTGCATAGCCGACACTCGGAGGGATCCAGATCTTCCTGGATTGAAGTCTCCTAGTTTTTCCCGTCTGTTTTTCGTTCCCTCCATCTTTTTCTCCCTGAATGTTTTAACCTGATAAGAAGCAGACGTGTTTTTCTCCAGGCTTCCTGGAAGTCACACAGACCGTAGACTCTGGGAAGTAGGTGTGAGCTGAGCTCCATCTCTGCATTAGTCCCTCCATCAGCAGTGGGTGTGAATTTAATCCAGTCTGGTATTTCACAGAGACCAACCAGTTCTGGGTCATTAGGGATCACAAACACTTTCTGCTGCATCAACCTCTGCAGAGCAGGAACGTGGCACGTCCAGCCCGCTGCTGTTCCTTCAGCCCGCCGCTGTTCCTTCAGCCCGCCGCTGTTCCTTCAGCCCGCCGCTGTTCCTTCAGCCCGCCGCTGTTCCTTCAGCCCGCCGCTGTTCCTTCAGCCCGCCGCTGTTCCTTCAGCCCGCCGCTGTTCGTTCAAGCTGGCCTGCATCCTGCTCGGTGATTCTAGGGCAGTAAAAAACGGCACCGGCTCCTGGATGAACTCTAAACCTTAAAAATTCAGCCTGACTGAATTTTTAAGGTTGCTTCCAGATTTCCTGCTGTAATCCGGATTAATCCTGACCGTCTCCACCTGTGACGCTGTGTTTGGGACCTGCAGGCCGTTCTATGTGGAGCCCAGGAACATCGTGAGTGATGACCCACAGGAGCGGATCTCCGCCGAGGCCGCCGTCCTGAACAGTCGAGTGCAGTACTACAGCAGACTGACGGGCTCCTCCGATGCCGTGCTGGTGGGTCTGCTCGTACGCCGCTTTCAATTCTTAATCAAGCCGTTCCTTATTCCTCGTTCTTTTCCCCCTTCAGAGTCCTCCCAACCACGTGATCCCCACAGCCGAGGAGATGTACATCTACAGTCCTCTGGGGACGGCCTTCAAGGTGTCGGACAGCGACCCGGCCTCCAGCAATCCCAGCATCGTCACCATGTACGGCCTGTGAAACGCGGGACGCGTATCCGCCGGCCCTCACGCCTCTGCTGACTTCCTGTGTTTCCTTGCAGCTTTGCCATCTGGAACACCATGATGGGAACGTCCATCCTCAGCATTCCCTGGGGGATGAAGCAGGTGGGGCGGCTTTCTGTTTCCTGTGGTTGGACGTTTGCTGCATGTTCTGCTGTGAGCTGAATGGATTCTCTTCTTTAGGCTGGTTTCACTCTGGGGATCATCATCCTCATCCTCACCGGCCTCATCATGCTCTACTGCTGTTACATCGTCATCAAATCACCAAAGGCCATCAGTAAGTCCTGCTAAAGCAGCTCCTCCAGCGGGATGAAGAAGGTTTCTCTTTGATCCCATTTCCTTCCTTCTGATTGGTCGGAGCTGTTTGAACGTCCCAGATGTTCCCACTGCTGAGCAAAGGCTCATACTGGACACCAGTTACACAACAGGCTGCAAACAGTGCAGTAAACCTGCCAGCAGACGTCCCATAAAGCTAGCAGAATGTGTTTATGATCCTGCAGTGGAGCGTCACAGGAAAAGGATCTAATGTGTTGATCGGACTGAACAAAGATGGCGTTAAAGGTGTGAGACGGAAACATCACATCCTGGAGGTGGAGGAAATAAAACCACTGAGGAAGAATGGATGGAAAAAGGAACAGAAGGGAATCAGAGAAATCAGATTGTTCATTAAATCATTTCAAATGACTTTACTTTATATTTTTGGATTTTAAAGCTGAGCTGCTGATGGACTCCAGGCTTCAGCTTCATTTTAACTCGGCTGCAACTAAACTTTATTTGGCAAATCGATTCATCTTCTGAATATTTTTTTTATTAATCGATTAATAATCAGATAAAAGACTTTTTACAATACTAAACCAAGGGAAATAAGTTTTCCACTTAAGGAGTTCTGGATAGTACCAGGAAGTGTTAGGCCCAGACTAGAGATTAAAAAAATATCACAATAAAGTCGTGATATTATGAGAATAAATTATATTTTATGAAAACTCTTACAAGAGGCTCTGTCTTCTCTAAAATTAGGAATACTGAGCATCTTGTGAAGTTATACTTTGGCATCGGTTTGACAAATAACAGGAAATATCAGTAAAAAACAGGAAATATCAGGTGATTGGAGGAGCTGGTCGGCCGTCATCTGCTGGTCGAAGCTTTCTATCTGAAACGATTCCGCCGTATGATGACTTTATTCTCATCATTTTTTAAGTTTATTCTCTAAAATTAATGATTTTATTCTTGTAATGTTACGACTTTATTCTTTTTTTTATGACTTTATTCTTATTACCGTAATTTTCGGACTATTAGCCGCACCTAAATATAAGCAGCAGAAGCGAAATTGCATGATTTGTACAAATTCGAGCCGCACCGGACTAGCCTGGGTGCCATTCCGAACTTAGTCCCGCCCACAAGGTTTGAGGTCGGGAAGTTCGGTCTGGCTCTGCTCAATAGTAGTGGGAGTATGATCGCCCACCCTCTGGCGATCCAATCAAATTGTCAGGGCGGGCTTTATACGATGATGGACAGATGATCAACAGTAATGTAATCAACCACGTCACCAAAGCGCGGTTTGGGTGACAACAATAATGGCTGCCACTGGAGAGTTGAGGTGAGTAGATTCTGCTATTAGGTCTGTTCTAGAAGATATCGACAGCAAATTAATTTTAAAAGAGGAACAGAGAAACGCGATCAAGTCTCATCTTCTTATTCTAGGCGTGAAACTGCACGCTTTGATTTTTGTGGACAACAACTATGCCTCGCTTAAGATACGTCACGCACTCCGTTGCTCTTATTGGTTGTAGGTCTATCCAATTGAGTGCAGAGGCATTTTTTTTCCTGGTTCGTTCGAAACACGCCCCATAATCACAGCTCTATGGAGCAGCATCAGACTCATTCTGACTAGAATTGAGTAGGACTACAGGTGCTGGTCATAAAATTAGAATATCATGAAAAAGTAGATTGATTTCAGTAATTCCATTTAAAAAGTGAAACTTGTATATTATATTCATACATTACATACAAACTCATATATTTCAGATGTTTATTTTGTTTAATTTTGATGATTACAAATGACAACAAATGAAAATCTCAAATTCATCATATCAGAAAATTAGAATATTACTGAAGACCAATAAAAACAAAGGATTTATAGAAATGTTGGCCAACTGAAAAGTATGAACATGAAAAGTATGAGCATGTACAGCACTCAGTATTTAGTTGGGCCTCCTTTGGCCTGTATAACTGCAGCAATGCGGCGTGGCATGGAGTCGATCAGTCTGTGGCACTGCTCAGGTGTTATGATAGCCCAGGTTGCTCTAATAGTGGCTTTTAGCTCTTCTGAATTGTTGGGTCTGGTGTATTGCATCTTCTTCTTCACAATACCCCATAGATTTTCTATGGGGTTAAGGTCAGGAGAGTTTGCTGGCCAATTAAGAACAGGGATACCATGGTCCTTCAACCAGGTACTGGTAGCTTTGGCACTGTGTGCAGGTGCCAAGTCCTGTTGGAAAATGAAATCTGCATCTCCAAAAAGTTGGTCAGCTGCAGGAAGCATGAAGTGCTCTAAAACTTCCTGGTATGTGGCTGCGTTGACCCTGGACCTCAGAAAACACAATGGACCAACACCAGCAGATGACATGGCACCCCAAACCATCACTGACTGTGGAAACTTTACACTGGACTTCAAGCAACGTGGATGAAGTGCCTCTCTTCTTTTCCTCCAGACTCTGGGACCTTGATTTCCAAAGGAAATGCAAAATTTACTTTCATCAGAGAACATGACTTTGGACCACTCACCAGCAGTCCAGTCCTGTTTCTCTTTAGCCCAGGCAAGACGCTTCTGACGCTGTCTGTGGTTCAAGAGTGGCTTGACACAAGGAATGCGACAGCAGAAACCCATGTCTTTCATACGTCTGTGTGTGGTGGTTCTTGAAGCACTCACTCCAGCTGCAGTCCACTCTTTGTGAATCTCCCCCACATTTTTGAAGGGGTTTTGTTTCACAATCCTCTCCAGGGTGCGGTTATCTCTCTTGCTTGTACACTTTTTTCCACCACATCTTTTCCTTCCCTTCGCCTCTCTATTAATGTGCTTGGACACTGAGCTCTGTGAACAGCCAGCCTCTCTAGCGATGACCTTTTGTGTCTTGCCCTCCTTGTGCAAGGTGTCGATGGTCGTCTTTTGGACAACTGTCAAGTCAGCAGTCTTCCCCATGATTGTGTAGCCTATAGAACTAGACTGAAAGACCATTTAAAGGCTTTTGCAGGTGGTTTGAGTTAATTAGCTGATTAGAGTGTGGCACCAGGGGCCATCAATTTTGAACCTTTTCACAATATTCTAATTTTCTGATATGATGAATTTGAGATTTTCATTTGTTGTCATTTGTAATCATCAAAATTAAACAAAATAAACATCTGAAATATATGAGTTTGTATGTAATGTATGAATATAATATACAAGTTTCACTTTTTAAATGGAATTACTGAAATCAATCTACTTTTTCATGATATTCTAATTTTATGACCAGCACCTGTACGTCAGGCTAGCACCGGACTATAAGCCGCAGGTTTTTTATGTTTAACACAAACTGTCTTGTGCTCGCAATGTCCGTCTTTTATCACTTTCGTTCTGTCTCGTACCACCGCCAGTGGTACAGAACAACAGTCTGCTTCCGGAGGAGCTCCGCATTTCCGCGCGGCTTGTGTGTTGAAGCAAATGTGCCGTCAAAATGGTGGATGGTAGAATCCATAGATTTAGGTATTACCCTAGTGGCTGTTAGCTGTAAAAGTCCATAGATAAGCTGCATTGTTATATCAGCCGCAAGGTCGAAAAATGGGGAAAAAGTCACAGCTTATAGTCCGAAAATTACGGTAGATTACGACTTTATTGTCTTTTATGACTTTATTCTCGTAATGTTATGAATTAATTCTCCAAATGTTACAATTTTATTCTCAGAATGTTACGATTTTGTTCTTGTAATGGTAAGACTTTATTCCTTTAATTTTACTATTTTATTCTTGTACTTTTACAAGTTTATTCTCATAACTTTACGACTTTATTCCCATGATGTTATGACTTTATTCCTATATTTAAATCTCCAGCCTGGTCCTTTTACTCCTCAGTAGGATAAAAGCAGATCGACAGATGAAATGTTTTCTTAAATGCAAAATGTTCATATATATGTTTTTCCAGTCTTGGTATAATTGCTGCTCTAAGTGGGCCGCTCTATTACTGTTCTCCAGTTAACGATTAATTAATTATTTAAATTAGTTGGTGATTATTTAATGGATTAATCCGATGACTTGTTTCAGTCCTAATTTAAACATCTCTCTAGTTAATCGTATTTTTCCACTAGTTGAGCTAAAAGCTGATGCGGACCCTGAGCAGCAGGTTGACCTATTGACCTCTGTGGTCTCTTGTTCAGAGGGCGAGGACACGTCCAACTGGGAGTTCCCGGATGTCTGCAGGTTCTACTTTGGGAAGTGTGGCCAGTGGTCCAGCCTGCTGTTTTCCATGGTGTCCCTTGTTGGAGCCATGGTGGTCTACTGGGTCCTCATGTCCAACTTCCTCTACAACACCGGGCAGTTCATCTACAGTGAGTCCACCTCATCAGTTCTACTCGCTCCGTGTTCTCTGGGTCACATGGTTCAGGAGGAAATCTGCTTTGCTTTTCTATCCTTCTGCTTACTTCAGCAAACCTTGGATGCTGACTCAGCTGTGATGTTTGTCTCATTCCTCCTGGAGCCTCTAACTTCAAGTCTTCCTAACAATGTTTAACTAGTTAAACCGTCTCTCATTACTGTGAAACGTTTCTTTGGTCAGAACCAGGAGCTGCTGCCTCGTAAAACCTTTTTAAATATTGATTCTCTGTGGTTTTGGGTTCTGCAGAATGTCTGCTCCTTTTAAAATATGCATGTCTGAGTTTGTCTGATTGAATCCACAGAACACAGGTGATGTTTTTAAACCTCTGTCTTCCTGCTTCCAGACAACGCCCACAACGTCAGCACATCCGACTCCGAGTTTGGGACCAACGGTTCTGTTAGAGGTAAGCCGCCGCCGCTCCAGGGAACTTGACCTTTGACCTCCAGGGGGCGTCTGCAACTGAAGCCCTTATCTCAGCTGATGGTCTGAGAGCAACGATGTGTTTCTGTGAAAATCAGACAGGAAGAAAAAACATCCATCTTGCTTTTTGAGCGTTTTTGTTGCAGAATCTATAAATCTGGGAATAATTTGTCAGTTAAATAATTTTTTCCTTTTGTTTTTGAATCAACATTAATTTGATCAAATTAGGATAATCCAAATATGTTCTTGGTTCCATTGAAGCTTATGTCCAAACTTTGGGTTTCTAAAAAACGTCTCCATCTAACCAAGTCTAAGGCAGAGTTTCTGTAGGTCATTAAAAATCATTAACAGTTATTAAATAATAATTTTTTTTAAATTAAGGTCTTAATTGGGATTAAAATTCATTAAATGTGATTATCGTTGGCATTTAAGATGCTTTACTAAAAGATTAAATAAAAGGTTTATAAAAAGAATATAATCAGATATAGTGTATGAAGAGATGAAACTTTAAAAAAAGTCTAATTTGGGCTAAAGTGAAAAAGAATGAGCCGTTATTGGATGAAATAGTTTTAGCCCCGCCCACTAAGAACAGGAAGCTGCCACGGTTGGTGTGATTTGGGCCAGGTGGTCTAAGGTGGCGACGTGCAGCTGAGGCTGTTGCTACATACGACGCTGATCTGAGAGCGCCGCCAGGCGCCGCTCTGCGGATCTAAACATGGAATCACTTCAGGTCTCAGAACAGGATCTGCTTTCATTACTGTAATAAAGAATGGAGGAGAAGGTCAAAAGGCCAATCCTCTGTTTGTGAAACACTTTCAGGAGTCAGTTCAGCGGCCAAAAAAGGCCCCCCAGCCCCCGCTTTGGACACAGCCCTGTAATAAAGTTCACTTTTAGCTTTAGTAAACAGTCAGCGAGGCGTGATGAAATCACAGTGCAGATTTCAGTGTCTCCAGATGAGTGATCTGTAGCTGTGGGTGATTTTTACTGACATGATGACCCAGCAGCCTGATTAGCTCCCCTCACAGCCTGATTAGCTCCCCTCACAGCCTGATTAGCTCCCCTCACAGCCTGATTAGCTCCCCTCACAGCCTGGTTAGCTCCCCTCACAGCCTGGTTAGCTCCCCTCACAGCCTGGTTAGCTCCCCTCACAGCCTGATTAGCTCCTCACAGCCTGGTTAGCTCCCCTCACAGCCTGGTTAGCTCCCCTCACAGCCTGGTTAGCTCCCCTCACAGCCTGGTTAGCTCCCCTCACAGCCTGGTTAGCTCCTCACAGCCTGGTTAGCTCCCCTCACAGCCTGGTTAGCTCCCCTCACAGCCTGGTTAGCTCCCCTCACAGCCTGGTTAGCTCCTCACAGCCTGGTTAGCTCCTCACAGCCTGGTTAGCTCCTCACAGCCTGGTTAGCTCCCCTCACAGCCTGGTTAGCTCCTCACAGCCTGGTTAGCTCCTCACAGCCCGGTTAGCTCCCCTCACAGCCCGGTTAGCTCCCCTCACAGCCCGGTTAGCTCCTCACAGCCCGGTTAGCTCCCCTCACAGCCCGGTTAGCTCCTCACAGCCCGGTTAGCTCCTCACAGCCCGGTTAGCTCCCCTCACAGCCCGGTTAGCTCCCCTCACAGCCCGGTTAGCTCCTCATAGCCCGGTTAGCTCCTCACAGCCTGGTTAGCTCCCCTCACAGCCCGGTTAGCTCCCCTCACAGCCCGGTTAGCTCCTCATAGCCCGGTTAGCTCCTCACAGCCTGGTTAGCTCCCCTCACAGCCTGGTTAGCTCCCCTCACAGCCCGGTTAGCTCCTCACAGCCTGGTTAGCTCCCCTCACAGCCTGGTTAGCTCCTCACAGCCTGGTTAGCTCCTCACAGCCCGGTTAGCTCCCCTCACAGCCCGGTTAGCTCCCCTCACAGCCCGGTTAGCTCCCCTCACAGCCCGGTTAGCTCCTCATAGCCCGGTTAGCTCCTCACAGCCCGGTTAGCTCCCCTCACAGCCCGGTTAGCTCCCCTCACAGCCCGGTTAGCTCCCCTCACAGCCCGGTTAGCTCCCCTCACAGCCCGGTTAGCTCCCCTCACAGCCTGGTTAGCTCCTCACAGCCCGGTTAGCTCCCCTCACAGCCCGGTTAGCTCCTCACAGCCCGGTTAGCTCCCCTCACAGCCCGGTTAGCTCCTCACAGCCCGGTTAGCTCCTCACAGCCCGGTTAGCTCCCCTCACAGCCTGGTTAGCTCCCCTCACAGCCTGGTTAGCTCCCCTCACAGCCTGGTTAGCTCCCCTCACAGCCTGGTTAGCTCCTCACAGCCTGGTTAGCTCCCCTCACAGCCTGGTTAGCTCCCCTCACAGCCTGGTTAGCTCCTCACAGCCTGGTTAGCTCCTCACAGCCTGGTTAGCTCCTCATAGCCTGGTTAGCTCCTCACAGCCTGGTTAGCTCCCCTCACAGCCTGGTTAGCTCCCCTCACAGCCTGGTTAGCTGCTCACAGCCTGGTTAGCTGCTCACAGCCTGGTTAGCTCCCCTCACAGCCTGGTTAGCTCCCCTCACAGCCTGGTTAGCTCCTCGCAGCCTGGTTAGCTCCTCGCAGCCTGGTTAGCTCCCCTCACAGCCTGTTTAGCTCCCCTCACAGCCTGTTTAGCTCCCCTCACAGCCTGGTTAGCTCCTCACAGCCTGGTTAGCTCCTCACAGCCTGGTTAGCTCCCCTCACAGCCTGGTTAGCTCCTCACAGCCTGGTTAGCTCCTCATAGCCTGGTTAGCTCCCCGCAGCCTGGTTAGCTCCCCTCACAGCCTGGTTAGCTCCTCACATCCTGGATCACCTTTAGCATCTTCTAGAAGCTCCTGTACCAAAGATGAAACCTGATGTCTGGTCCGTATGTGGCGAAGGCCAGGCTCTGCAGGGCTGCATCGGGGCTGAGGGATGCGTATCCCCACACGCTACCACGGATTTTAGATCCACGGATGGAAAAACACTGGAAGGATTTCCTTCCTGATCAGGATGCAGTTCCATCCTTTTATTCAGCCTGTTCATAAAAACCATCCAGTTCAATCTAAATAGTTCATTAAAGTCATTGCAAAAAAGTTCAAAAATCAATCCACTGGACTTTGTTTCAAAGTTTGAAGACGTTTCTCTTCCATCCAGGAAGATTTTTCAGTTCAAAATGTCAGAAATAGCGTTTAGTTCCAGGTTTTATCCACTCTGCTCAAATTCGGTCTGGAGGTTTGGTCTTTAGGATGAACTAGTCTCTGTTTAACGTTCTGTTTTGTTTGAAATGTTCTGGGGTTTAGTGTTTGTATATGGAGACGTGTTTCTGGAGCTGCTCACCGTGTCTGCAGCTCTTAATTTGAGGCGGCGTGAAGCGGAGGCAGACGTCCTCCTCAGCAGGGACAGTCCCAGGTCAAATGTCCAGTAACCTGTAAGATCAGGCTGACAGACGACCTCCAGGGGAAAATCTAGTTTATAAATGTCCCCTTGTTGTCCTGCAGTGATCTGTCCGTACCCCAGAACCGACCCTGAAGTAAACGGCACGTCGTATCTGGGCGCCACTGGAAACCACACGTCAGACGGCGGCTTTGAGGTCTACTGGAGTAAAACCGGCACCATCCCGCTCTACCTCATCATCCTGCTGCTGCCGCTGCTCTGCTTTCGCTCCGCCTCCTTCTTCGCCAGGTTCACCTTCTTCGGTAAGTAGATTCAAGCGCCACCAGTGGAGCCACTGCAGGCGATGATGATGATGATGCGCATCACAGGAAGCTGGGTTTCAACAAACTGCATGATGGATGAGAAGCAGGAGAGAACATAGATTTAGATTTTTCAGAGCTTTTTATTTATCATCCATGTTCAAATGGTGCAAACTGTAACCATGGAAACAAATTGATTAAATTGAAAGATCCATATTTAGAAAAAGATGCATGTTTAGATAAAAGTTTCTGTGTTTGGAGGAGGAGGTTTTACATTTTGGTATTTCGAAAAACTGCAATGGAGAATTGAACGCGTCACATTATCAACAACCAGACATAAACTGGCAGGAAAGGGGAGGAAGCAGTGGAAACAGGATCGGTTTTATTTCTGTTGCTGAATAAAAACCTTCCAGTCATTTGGAGACGATCTGTGGAGCAAACCTCGCGTCTCCAGGAGCTCCTGTTAGCAGCTGGTTGGTGCAGCGCTGTTCTAATCCTCCAGCGTCAGTGCGACCAGACCGCGGTCTGGCTTCTTTAAAGGTCCTTCACTGGTTGCTCACTACGTCTCCCTCCTTTAGGCACCATATCTGTGGTTTACCTGATCGTTCTGGTCACCATCCAAGCCGCCCGCCTCGGCTTCCACCTGGAGTTCCACTGGTTTGATCCTTCTGAGCTCTTCGTTCCAGGTATGTGTCTGCAGTGAAGGCTGCCTGTCTGTCCCTTCGCTGGCGCTGCAGCCAAGCGTTGCCTGGCGACCCTGCAGAAGCAGCAGCATGCACATCGTGTTTTCACTGCAAAGATTGATCTAAAAATCAGCCAGGCGAAATTTGAGTTTTGCTTCAAAAGAAGAAGAATACGATGCACTACAAAAAATGTCAATTATTCTTAAAATAAGTGCATCTTTTCCTGAATTGAGGAGGTAAGTGAGGAACTTTGCCAATTGAAAAAGACGATTTACATTTAAAATAAGAAAAAAATATTGCATTGATTGCATTATTTCAATTGCAAGAAGTAAAAATACTCCTTCCATTGGTGGATAATCTTATCTCCTGCTCAAATTAAGGCTAAATACATTTCACTTAAGAACTTTTTACTTATTTCTAGATTGTTTTTATTATTTCATTTTTATGAGTTTACATATCTCCTCAAGTCAAGTACAAATACAGGGCATTCTCAAAATATTAGCATATTGTGATAAAGTTCATTATTTTCCATAATGTAATGATAAAACTTGAACATTCATATATTTTAGATTCATTGCATGATAACTGAAATATTTCAGGTCTTTTATTGTCTTCATACGGATGATTTTGGCACAAAGCTAATGAAAACCCAGAATTCCTATCTCACATAATTAGCATATCATGAAAAAGGTCTCTAAACGAGCTATGCACCTAATCATCCGGATCAACAAATGAACTCTAAACACCTGCAAAACATTCCTGAGGCCTTTAAAACTCCCAGCCTGGTTCATCATGGGTCAGACTGCCGACCTGCCTGCTGTCCAGAAGGCCATCATTGACCCCCTCAAGCAAGAGGCTATGACACAGAAAGATGTTTCTGAACCAATAGGCTGTTCCCAGAGTGCTGCTGCATCAAGGCTCCTCAGTGGGAAGGAAAAAGTGGCAGAAAACGCTGCACAAAAGAAGAGGTGACCGTGAGGAAGATTGTGGAGAAGTTTCGATTCCAGACCTTGGGGGACCTGCGGAAGCAGTGGACTGAGTCTGGAGTAGAAACATCCAGAGCCACCGTGCACAGGCGTGTGCAGGAAATGGGCTACAGGTGCCGCATTCCCCAGGTCAGCTACTTTAGAACCAGAAACAGCAGCAGAGGCGCCTGACCTGGGCTACAGAGAAGCAGCTCTGGACTGTTGCTCAGTTTTTCATGTCATTTGGAAATCAAGATGCCAGAAGTCCAGAGTCAAGTAGCCACAGTCAGTGATGGTCTGGGGCGCCATGTCAGCTGCTGGTGTTGGTCCACTGGGTTTTATCAAGGGCAGGGTCAATGCAGCTATCAGGAGATTATGGAGCACTTCATGCTTCCACCTGCTGAAAAGCTTTATGGAGATGAAGATTTCATTTTTCAGCACCACCTGGCAGCTGCTCACAGAGCCAAAACCACTGGTAAATGGTTTACTGGTATCACTGGGCTCAATTGGCCTCCCAACCTCCTGACCTGAACCCCATAGAGAATCTGTGGGATATTGAGAAGAGAAAGTTGAGAGACTCAAGACCCAACACTGTGGATGAGCTAAAGGCTAAACGCTATGGAAGCATCCTGGGCCTCCATGACACCTCAGCAGGCTGATAGCCTCCACGCCGCATTGAAGCAGCCATTTCTGATAAAGGATTCCCACCAAGTATTGAGTGAAAAACTGTACACAATTATTTGAAGGTTGATTTTTGTATTAAGAACAAATATGCTAATTTTGTGAGAATGGAATTTTGGGTTTTTATGAGCTGGATGCTAAAATCATCCGTATGAAGACAATAAAGGACCTGAAATATTTCAGTTAGTGTGCAATGAATCTAAAATATATGAATGTTCACGTTTTATCATTACATTCTGGAAAATAATGAACTTTATCACACTATGCTAATTTATTGGGAAGGACCTGTACTCATCTTCCAGGAAACCTGCACTTCCAACAATTCTGCTACTAAAAGCATCTCCACCAAGCATTTACTTGAATCCTGGGTTCTGTTAATTTCATCACGGGGGTCCATTCAGATCTCTGACCCATTTCAACCAAGATGGCGGTTTTGATTGTCTTCTTGTTGTTTTTGCAGAGTTCAGGCTGCTCTTCCCTCAGCTGACTGGTGTCCTCACTCTGGCCTTCTTCATACACAACTGCATCATCACGCTGATGAAGAGCAACAAGAACCAGGAGAATAATGTGAGCCTGAGCCCAGAGGGGTTCTCTGGTTGGATCCAGACAGAGCCATGCTCTCTCTGAATCAGACACAGTTTCTTTAGAAGGACTTTTTCATTTATTGTTGAGCTAAAAGTTTAAAGGGGTCATAGAATGCAGAGTTTCCATTGTCATAGATGAATAATGATAGTTCAGGGGGTGAAATGGACGTACAGAGAAGATCAAACCCCATCAACTCCTCATTTCTCGGCAAACCTATAGAATCATTCTATCACCCTATTAGAGACCTGAAGGACCAGATACCCTATAGAATCATTCTATCACCCTATTAGAGACCTGAAGGACCAGATACCCTATAGAATCATTCTATCACCCTATTAGAGACCTGAAGGACCAGATACCCTATAGAATCATTCTATCACCCTATTAGAGACCTGAAGGACCAGATACCCTATAGAATCATTCTATCACCCTATTAGAGACCTGAAGGACCAGATACCCTATAGAATCATTCTATCACCCTATTAGAGACCTGAAGGACCAGATACCCTATAGAATCATTCTATCACCCTATTAGAGACCTGAAGGACCAGATACCCTATAGAATCATTCTATCACCCTATTAGAGACCTGAAGGACCAGATACCCTATAGAATCATTCTATCACCCTATCAGAGACCTGAAGGACCAGATACCCTATAGAATCATTCTATCACCCTATTAGAGACCTGAAGGACCAGATACCCTATAGAATCATTCTATCACCCTATTAGAGACCTGAAGGACCAGATACCCTATAGAATCATTCTATCACCCTTTTAGAGACCTGAAGGACCAGATACCCTATAGAATCATTCTATCACCCTATTAGAGACCTGAAGGACCAGATACCCTATAGAATCATTCTATCACCCTATTAGAGACCTGAAGGACCAGATACCCTATAGAATCATTCTATCACCCTATTAGAGACCTGAAGGACCAGATACACTATAGAATCATTCTATCGCCCTATTAGAGACCTGAAGGACCAGATACCCTATAGAATCATTCTATCGCCCTATTAGAGACCTGAAGGACCAGATACCCTATAGAATCATTCTATAACCCTATTAGAGACCTGAAGGACCAGATACCCTATAGAATCATTCTATCGCCCTATTAGAGACCTGAAGGACCAGATACCCTATAGAATCATTCTATAACCCTATTAGAGACCTGAAGGACCAGATACCCTATAGAATCATTCTATCGCCCTATTAGAGACCTGAAGGACCAGATACCCTATAGAATCATTCTATCGCCCTATTAGAGACCTGAAGGACCAGATACCCTATAGAATCATTCTATAACCCTATTAGAGACCTGAAGGACCAGATACCCTATAGAATCATTCTATCGCCCTATTAGAGACCTGAAGGACCAGATACCCTATAGAATCATTCTATAACCCTATTAGAGACCTGAAGGACCAGATACCCTATAGAATCATTCTATCGCCCTATTAGAGACCTGAAGGACCAGATACCCTATAGAATCATTCTATCGCCCTATTAGAGACCTGAAGGACCAGGTACCCTATAGAATCATTCTATCGCCCTATTAGAGACCTGAAGGACCAGATACCCTATAGAATCATTCTATCGCCCTGTTAGAGACCTGAAGGACCAGATACCCTATAGAATCATTCTATCGCCCTATTAGAGACCTGAAGGACCAGGTACCCTATAGAATCATTCTATCGCCCTATTAGAGACCTGAAGGACCAGATACCCTATAGAATCATTCTATCACCCTATCTGAGACCTGAAGGACCAGATACCCTATAGAATCATTCTATCACCCTATCTGAGACCTGAAGGACCAGATACCCTATAGAATCATTCTATCACCCTATTAGAGACCTGAAGGACCAGATACCCTATAGAATCATTCTATCATCCTATTAGAGACCTGAAGGACCAGATACCCTATAGAATCATTCTATCACCCTATTAGAGACCTGAAGGACCAGATACCCTATAGAATCATTCTATCACCCTATTAGAGACCTGAAGGACCAGATACCCTATAGAATCATTCTATCACCCTATCTGAGACCTGAAGGACCAGATACCCTATAGAATCATTCTATCACCCTATCTGAGACCTGAAGGACCAGATACCCTATAGAATCATTCTATCACCCTATTAGAGACCTGAAGGACCAGATACCCTATAGAATCATTCTATCACCCTATCTGAGACCTGAAGGACCAGATACCCTATAGAATCATTCTATCACCCTATTAGAGACCTGAAGGACCAGATACCCTATAGAATCATTCTATCACCCTATTAGAGACCTGAAGGACCAGATACCCTATAGAATCATTCTATCACCCTATTAGAGACCTGAAGGACCAGATACCCTATAGAATCATTCTATCACCCTATCTGAGACCTGAAGGACCAGATACCCTATAGAATCATTCTATCACCCTATCTGAGACCTGAAGGACCAGATACCCTATAGAACCATTCTATCACCCCTTTAAAAAGATTTAAAAATCAGCTGCATTTGCTAAACATTGGGTCTCTTTCCAAGCATAGAATAGGATCTGGATTAGTGTTTCTTCCTATTATTAAAGTCTAAAGCAGATTTCTATTCATCAGAGGAATAAGAAGATGGAAAGTTTGCTTTTAGAAGACGGATCCTTTGATTGAACACTTTTAACTGTAATGATCTCTCCAGGTTAAAACTATTCTACCTGAAGCAAAGCTGTTTGCAATACTGATAACAGGAGATTATGGAACGGAAACCATGCTGGTTGGTTTTCATAGAACCAGCAGAGGAAATGATTGTTTCAGAGTTCCAAAGAAGTTAAAAAACAATCCACTGGACTTTGTTTTGAAATCCAAAAGAAACGCAGTAGAACATAACGGTGAGAAGATTAAACGCAAAAACATCTCCATCCCACATGTTGCTGGAGTCTCTGAAAAACTCAAGCTTCCTGGATGGAAGAGAAACGTCTTCAAACTGGGAAACAAACCAGTGGATTGATTTTTTTACTTTTTTTTTTTGAATGACCATGACCGGGATGACTGAGATCTTCACCTGCAGATTGTTTTGCCAGTAGATCATGTGTTGACTGGACAGATCCATCAGACTGAATGGGGATCTGAGGTCCGTTTGCATAGAACCAGGTTTCTGTGAACACAGCAGCCGTTCTTCACCAACGGCCCCAAATTTCAGTGAAGTTGAACAAATGTGACTCCTCCAGGGGTTCCTTCGCTAACGTGTGTCATGGATGTGCTGCAGGTGAGGGACCTCTCTGTGGCGTACCTTCTCGTCGGAGGGACGTATATGTATGTGGGGGTGCTGATCTTTGCTGCCTTCCCCTCGCCGCCTCTCTCCAAAGAATGCATCGAACCAGTAAGATTCAAACCTTTTTTCTTTCACCCTGAACTTCAAACTAAATAAACAGAAAAGTTGAAACATGATAAAAAATAAAAGACTAAAACCCAGACGGACGCTATGACAACAGAGTTCCAGATCTTCTCTGATGTGAAACCAAAGAAGCGGTTCTGTTTTTTTCTAACATCGTGCTTCTGTCCTTCGGTCAGGATTTGAAGTTCCAGATGGGCTGTATTTCCTGGGTTCAGCCTTCCTGTTTATGTTCATTGCTACCATGGATGGATCAGGCAGAACCTTCCCAGACTCCGCAATGCAAAATGTATCTATAAATAAAGCTTGGTTTATATTTGCCGCATCCCACAGGACACCGGTGCAGCCGTGGCACTAGGTGCATGCCTGCTTGTTCCAAATGGGAATATATAAAGTTTTTCTCTCAAACGGTGCAGAGGGTTCCAGTGGAACAGTTTGGTTCCTGTTCTCTCACTGACTGAACAGCACCCAATTTATCAGCCAAGCTTGGTGGTAAAAACAAAGATTTTCCATCAGTTAAAAATATAAATAAAGTCTGAAACAACTACCTATAGTTTAAAATACACTCAGCACTTATTTAGTAAAACATTTTATTAATCTGTTTAAAAAAAAGAACGAAAAAAAAGTCTGTATGGGGTTCACGGTGGGGGTGGGGGGGCTGGATATTTCTATTGGCCGCTCACACTGAGCTTGGTTCTGCTGTAGGTTTCTTCCTGTTCAAAGGGAGTTTTTCCTCTCCACTGTCGCTACAAGCATGCTTAGTGTGAGGGATTGCTGAAGAGTCAATGAGTCGATGCAATCAGCTGGTTTTCCTTAGATAGAAAACTTTGAATCAATCTGACTGGATGATCTGGTGAACTGGAAAGTGACCTGAGATGACATGATGTGAATTGGAGGTATAGAAATAAACCGAATAGAATTGTTAGGGCTGAAACAATCAGATTAATTCATAATTGAAATAATCTTCAAATACTTTAGTATTTGATTAAACCTTAAGTGGAATATAGAGACTCTAAAACAGCCTTTAGCTGACAGAGTGACTCACTTAGAGCAGGAATTAAACCAAGATTGTAAAAATATAAATAAACATTTGAATTTAACATAAAAACCTCATTTTCTTCTGTCAATCTGCTCTATGCAGAACTCCTCAAGTGGAAAAGTTTTAGTTTCACTTGGTTTAAATTCATAAAACATCTTCTTTAACCTTTGGCAGTCTGATTATTAATTGAAAAAAAAAATAATTAACTTGATTTATCTTTTTTTTTATATAATTGTTGGTTTCAGACCTAATTTTTGTGCAGCAGATTATTCTTCAATAATCCACCAATTCTTAAACAATATTATGCTCGGCCATTTTGGAAGAGGGACATCAGCTATTATTTTTTCTTTTTTTTTGCCTTTTCCCTTACGTTGATGACTGCCCCTCTGTGATTTATTTATTTTACTATGTTTATCAACTGCAAGATAAAAATATCACACACCCAAGTATAAAGCATACATATATTAAAAAACTACGGTCTAAGAAAAAAGAAGTACTCTTGCCAATAAAATAATAGTAATAATATTTAAATAACCAGCAAACTCCACCTTTACCCATTTAACAAAATGAGATTATGCTAAAAGCATCAACCCCCCCTGTGGTTTTTAGAAGAACTGCACCGACATCAACATCATCTATAAAATGGTACAATGATTCTGTGGGCTCATCCACTGCATGACAACCTAACGCACGATTATATTAGATCATATAAATACGATATAAATAAGAGTGTTTTTACTCTTAACCCTGTAATGCCAAATGTATCGTATTTGATACATACGGTTTCTGAAATGTTTTGCGTCTGACCCTTTTTGCATAATTTAATGGTAAAAACTTTGCTCAAAATCTTATTGTACACAATCAGATATACCTGATAACTGAGGGCAGAAGACTAGACAAAAAATAATCTTGACTTATCGCATAGTAATAAATTATCCCTTTAGTCAGGTACAAAAAAACCTATTTAATTACTGACGTTTTGGTGGGTTTTTTTTTAAGCGGATGGTGATCTGACCTTCAGTTGTTTTTTTTATCCATATACGTCTTGCTCATGCGTGTCAACCATAGGTATGCTGGTCTGACAGAACCCAGGTGGCTCATTGGGCCCGTCTCTTTCTTCATTCATTCTTCGTCTTCCTCCGTGTTGCAGAACTTCTTGGATAACTTCTCCAGCAGCGACGTGATGGTGTTTGTGGCTCGGATGTGTCTGCTGTTCCAGATGATTACGGTCTACCCTCTCCTGGGTTACCTGCTGCGAGTGCAGATCATGAGCCAGTTGTTTGGAAATCATTATCCCGGGTGAGAGAAGAAAACATGTTTATTCCTCCAGTCTTTGCTATTAGAGGCTAAATGATAAAGTGCAGTAATTTAGCTTAGAGCCTCATGATGTTTGTTTGTAACGTCTGACTGACGTCTGTCTGCTCAGGTCCGCTTCCTAATCTCCTGTTTTCCACTGGGCCTCCCTCCTCTGAGCTTTTTTTCTCTGCTTCGTCTGTATTTGATGTTTCTGGTGAAGCTGAACTAGCCTGATAAACCAGACTAAATATTAGATTAAATGTTTAATCTAGTCTGGCCTTGATGAATGAGACATGGGAAGATTGTTGATGAGAACAACCTGTTGCTTTTCAAACCATGTCTGTGCCTATTGGCCAACGCTCTGACCAATGAGAGCAGCTGACTGTGACATAGGAAGCACCACAGGAAGCTGGTGGGGGGGTGGAAACAACCAGCCTGTCGGTAAAACGGCGAATACGTCCTTCTCAAAATGAGTGAGTGTAGAGCCTCTTCCTGCTCACGTTTCAATGAAAACTCCAAAGTCTAATCCTTCCAAAGCTTAGTCAGAAATCTGCATCAGAGCCAGCGGTCCTTCACATGCGGCTATGCCGAGAGAGGGCAGCTGCAGACGGGCTGCCGTTAGCCTCGGAGCTCCGCTGGTTGCTGCGGTCCTCTCAACTTTGGAAATTGTTTTTCTAATTACTAGGGGTGTAAATCACATCACTTCGATTCGATTAATCGGTTAATTTTTTTTTTTTTTTTCCACCTTACAGGCTAAACAAAGTTTCAAGTTTGAAATAAATCAACAAAAGCTGTAATATCGTTATGCATTTTCTTTTAAAAACCCTTTTTAGAGACCCTTTTTCCACCTGGATCTCCGCTCTTTTTGGCCCTCATGTCCCTCCGTCGTCGGACTAAACTCGCCCCCACTTCCTCGCCGCCTCGGCCGTATCTTGACCCACAGCGTGTAGCACAGACCACGCTTCAATACTGAGCATAAATCAAAAATGTCTGCATCAAGCTCACTGCAACACACTGCTGTAAGAGTATAACCAGGAAGCGAGGTAGGAGGGCAAAATAGGTTTAGCGCCACCGCAGCACGGGAGGGAGAATTACGCCCAGGAGTAAATGGATAAAAATAGACCGGAGGAAAAAAAAACATGAATCGATTCTCTTGCGGACGTGTCGATGCATCGGATCGTCGGCTGTTGGATCGATGCATCGATACAAAACGATTATTATTTATATTATTTACACCTCTACTAATTACGCATTAAATCGGAAATGGACCATACAGTGACGCTTTAAAGTATGATATTCTGGCCTCAGATTATCTTAGAACGTATTTTATTGAACAACAGAAAGAGAACGTGCAGCTTTCAATGGAGCGCTCCATTGAAAGCTGCTGCTGCTGCAGTTCATGCTACTGGTCAATAGTTGCTGCCATTTTCCTCGTTGTGTTTTCTCCAGCGTCGTGCAGCTTTGTCGTCACGTCCTCAGAACCCCGCCCACTTTGCATTCAAAAATTCTAAACACATCTCTGCGTTGTGATTGGCCAGTTCTAGGGCCTGGGGCTTTGATGGAGGCTAGACCAACTCGCAGGGAAAAATGGCCGCTGGTGGGGGGGGCTAGTTTACTAGGCTAAAGCTGAACCAGTTAATCAGACTAGCTGCTGTTTCTTATTGCAGCTTATCTTATCTTAGCATTTTAGCTAACCCTGCTCCCGGTTCAGGTACTGATCCGCTGTTGGAGTCGTCTGGGTTTAGGTCTCTCTTCCAAATATCAGCTGTTTGTTTTCTGCTAACGCTAAATGCTAACCATCTGGTCGTCTCTCCACAGTTTCATTCACATTCTGGTGCTGAATGTTCTCATAGTGGCAGCCGGCGTTCTGATGGCCATGTTTTACCCCAACATCGGATCTATTATACGGTACGTATGCGGCTCTGTTGGTGATGTCATCCTGGGAAGCTTCCTCAGGCGGACTGTTGGCCTCAGACCCTAACCACCAGACCAGGGTTCCCCCTGAGGGCCCCGGCCCCGGATTTAATCTGCTCCATGAGACCCCGGCTGCTTCCAGAAGGTCTCTGCTGAAGCTTGGAGCGTTTAGAAGCTCTGATGAGAGAACGAATCGGATCATCCGGTTCTGCTTTAAAAGCAGCCTCTGCCTCCTTTGATCATTTCTCTTAGTAAAATTCATTTAGTTTCTTCATCCACATCAGCTTCACCTGTGAGGAAAAGAACTGTTTAGAAGTTATGAATAAAAGTCACAAAGCTACACCTTCAGCCTCTGAACACCAGGCCTCACCAGCGGGGGGCGCTAAAACGCTGAAACACTAAAACTACCTTCAAGCAAGAAGATGATGATGAAAACGGATGTTAAAGAAATAGTACACCCAAAACATGATTAGCCTTCATTTTCTACTCACCCCCATGCTGAACAACACTCTGGAGTACTTTTTTGATATCTCAAATGCATCTGGAGATCTGGGAGGCTTCTTGCTGTCTGCTGACATTCAAATAATGGAGGTCTATGGCGCCCGAGGCAGAAAGGTCCATAAAAGTCCACAAAAAACGTGTCAATATTCCTCCATACTGCTCGTCCAATGTATTCCAAGTATCCTGAGTGGGTAGCGTCCATAATTTACTCAAAACAAAGTCATTTAGAATGTTTTTAGAGCATAAACAGTAGTGTATAGGATTTCCTGAAAGCGCGTTCATGACGCTACGGAAGCCGGCAGACCAAACCAGACGAAAGTGCGCAGATCTCCAGATGCATTTGAGATATCAAAAAAGTACTCCAGAGTGTTGTTCAGCATGGGGGTGAGTAGAACATGAAGGCTAATCATGTTTTGGGTGTACTATTCCTTTAAACTGTGCTTGATGGACAGTTTAGTGTTTTTCCTCTTTCTCCTCCTCTAAGACACCTGGAACCTCCATCTGTTAACAGCTTCATTAAAGGAGAAGTCCAGTCAGCAGGAATAATCAATGGATCATTATTTATACCTAAAACTAATACGTTTGCGGTGATTTCATGGATTTAGAGTTAATCAGTATAAAAATTAAATTTTTTGTTGTGATCAGAGTCTGGGAGCGGCCATTTTTACCCAAATATAGTGACACCTCCCTCCTGACTTTTCTCTGAATCCTGACAGAATTCTAACAACTAACAAACATGTTAGCATCCAGCCGTAGCCATGTCTGTTTTACAGACTAGCTCTCTTGATTTAATCACCTTCTGCTCTTCCATTAATCAAATAGCATCAGCAGGGATCCTCAGGGACAAAAACAGTCACCACCAATGTGTTCCTGTTCCTCCCAAACATCTCACATCTCTGTCAGTGAAGCTGAGTTGCTCCACATCTTTCCCTCATGGTGCCCATCTACATTAAGAGCAGAAACTCTGAAATGAAAGTCAGAATATTAACCTGAAATAAAATTTTAAAATCTGTTAACTTTTTTTATTTTTTCAATGGCCCTAATCCTCTACTGTAGCTTCATAATCACTGCAGGGTTCACATCTTTTCTTCAGCGCAGCCTCTTTCTATCCAGGTTAAATGTTTGTGTAATATAATTGTGTCCAGCAGAGGGCGGTGTTGGGTCTGATCTTCCTCCTGTGGAGCTAACTCTCCGTTTCTCTCTGCAGGTTTTCTGGCGCCATCTGCGGCCTGGCTTTGGTGTTTCTGCTCCCTGCTTTAGTCCACATGGTTTCCCTGAAGCAGCAGGGGAAGCTCACCTGGCTGTCGGCCATTTGCCACAGCGCCCTCATCCTGCTGGGCGTGGCCAACCTCATCGCTCAGTTCTTCATGTAGCGGCTGGAGCTGCAGTTGGTGACGAGGAGACAAAGATTTATCGTCTGCAGATTTATTTCTCCCCTTCCCCCGTATTAAAACCTCATGATTCTATGGCCGGTAAAATAAAAATGAAACACGGTAACATTTTGCTTTAATATTTCTAATTCAGCATCTGGCATGAGGTCCAGAGCAGGTGAAGTTACCCACAGAGACATGAGAGCAGGACGGTCTATAAAGGTGGATGAGTGATGGAGAGGGAAGGATGGAGCCTTAGGAAAGAGATCTGATGGAGCTTTAATCCATGGCTGCCAGATGTCCTCCTCAGAGGAGCCAGAAAGGAGCAGGAGTCGGGTTCTAGCAGAGCGTTCCTCCAGCAGAGACTCCACCCTGGAAAAACACGTCAGGGTTTTCCGAAGGTTCGGACAGAACGCTCCGTAGCTCCTGGTTCTGGTGGAGCAGAACCGGTCCAGCGGAGGAATATGGCGGGGCGTTGTTGGAAATAAAAGGGTGGAGGAAGAGAGTCTGGATTTCTGGTTTGGTTCCGTTAGAAGAACCCTGTTCATTCAGGAAAACATGGAAAAGTTCGGCTGACCTCCTCGTTAGCAGAGCAGCTTCCTGATCAAGTATTAAAGATGTTTCCCTTTTTCACCAACACATTTATCACAGGATTAACTTGCTTTGAATTTGGGTTGCAGGTTTTTTGTTCAGTCTAGTGGGAATTTAATGTCAAAGTTCTGATTGGAAATATTTAAACTAAAAGTTGATCTGATAGATCAGAAACGATGTTTAGATGCCAATAAAATCACCTTAGAAGCCGTTTAAATGCACAAGTAGCCAAAGTAGAGACTGAAGCGCTTCCACTGTTCCTCGCCCAGCATTCTCTTCTAGCTGTCATAGATCTACGCTTGTTTTAGGCCCATCAGAAGGCGGAGCATCAGTGAGTGCTGATGACACCAACCAATGGGAGCTCCTGAATATTAAAGGACCTAAGAACGGAGCCCTGAGGAACGCCCGCTTTGGTTCTTGTCCTGCTGCTGATGCCTGAGCCGTGCTCTGAGCCCGTCTGGGTGGGTTGGGGCCGCCATCGGGCCCCGTGGGACTCTGATCTGATTCGGTTTTGGATCCACAGTCCTTCAGCTTCTTAAACCAGTGTTTCCATCAACAGTTGATTAAAACCAGGATTTTTCAGATGTTCTGGTTAGAACCGGGTCTAAACCACGGAGGCCTGGATGGGTTCAGTCTGAGGAGCCGTCAGATGAATCTCAGCAGCGAATCAGAGGAGTTCCTGCTAAATTCCCACTGTGAGACTGCAGCCGTTCTGGTTCTGTTGGTCTGACCTAAACTAGAATCTATTTTTTTATTGTGATCAGATATGAATTAATGAGTTTGAATTTCCTGCCTTGCTTTAATGCAGATGATCCTTATTATGGAAATAAGGATCTTTGATCCTTTTTTTCCTCCATTTTCTTTCTGGTTTACAACATTAGTTCCTTTTTCTGTCTTTTTTTTTGTTCCTTTGGTTCATTGATGGATTTTCCATCCATAATGTATAAAAATGATATTTATAAAGAGATAATCTATCATATAAAGTGTTCTTCCTGCCATCGGCGTCATGAGCTGCGATAGTCGCTGCTTCCTGAGCGTTAGTCGCCTTTGATCAGCTCTGCACACGTTAACATGATCTCAGCAGGGTCATGATGAAAAAAGGGAATTTATGTGAAAATGTTGAAGTTCTGTACTTTTATGAATTTTATTAAATTTTCTGTTGATTTTAATGTTACGGTTTGAGTTTTTGGACTCGATTCTGCAGCCAGAAGGATGATTTTATCCAGCTCCTTCATTCATAGTGTTTCCACTTGGATGCAGAAGATGCAGAAGATGCTCCCTTCATATTTAGTTCCCAGTCTTTAGAGTCCATTTCTGCCATCATTTCACTGCAGTTTTTTAAAAATCTAAATAAGTTGTTTTTTTCTTAAAATAAGTGAATTTTTTCTTGAATTCTGAATTCTGATTTTAATCCCTGAATTCTGACTTTAATCCCATACTAAACTTTTTTCCATACTAAACTGAAATAAAATTTTAAAACCAGTAAACTTTTTTTTTCCAGTGGCCCTAATCCTCTTCCGTAAGGGAGACACTTACCAGTGGAACAAAACAATTTACATATGAAACAAGAAAAAACAATTGCATTGTCTTATTTAATATATATATTTTTATTTGTTTATTTGACAGGGACAGTACAATTAAACATTGCAACCAAACAGGTGGCCGATGTCCAAGTACATAAGGCTTGTAACCATGGGCTAATTTGCAGCCTTCGTCCCTGGTTATACTCATGTTATACTCATTCCATTGGTAGATTACCTTATTTACCTGCTCAAATTAACAGTAAATACATTTAATATAAGAAATGTTACCTTATTTCTAGATTGTTTTTTGCAGTGTGACCTCTGCATCATGCTCTAGGTGACTCATGCTACGTTCACACGCAGCAGGAGCAGCAGAAACACGCATGATGTTTCATTTTTTTATGCTTTTTCAAGTTTAGTTCTGACGCGCAGCTGAAGCATCTTTGCTTGGTAAAGTGGGTCTGATGCGCGGTGGGCGGAGCTACCCTATCCTTTCTCTGCCTGGAACAATGGCGGCTATATTAGCTGTGATCAGCGGGTAGAAAGTAGTTAGAATCTATGTTGAAGTGAGAAAGTCCTCCTAAAAACATGGTCTGTGCAGTCAGTTCATCCAGATTACCATCCTGCCTTCAAAGATTATTTCTCTGTGGGAGCCGCTCAGACCCCCACGTACCGGCGCTGCGCTGTCACTGGGAATCCCCAGCAGCAGCTGCCTCAGGCCCGCTCGCCTCTTGGGGGTTTTCCCCTCCTGTTGGTGGCGGCTGGAAGTAGATGTTAGCGTTTTTCAGGTCTGTGCTACAAACTGCAGGCAGCAGGATAATAAAAGCCAACATATTCTGCCGGCAGGTTTCTACATTTGAAGTTAATTTAGGCGTCAATAAACTGTTTCAGAGGAGTGATCATAGCGCTCTGCATCAGCAGTGCTGCGTCTGACTCCCTGCCAGCTCCCAGATCAGCTGCTCTCATTGGTTGATGAGGCGCGTCCAGCAGCTAAAGTTACATTTTTCCAACTCCAGCAGCTGCTGCTTCTGACGTGTATCAGAAGCTCATGAAGCTCCTGCTGCCCCAGTCGCTGCAGGACCTTTTGCTTTGCCTTGATGCACAAAGTCAACCATTGACTGCATGTAAACCAGCTGCTTCTGCTGCTTGCTGTCTGAATGTAGCCTCAGGCTGCCTTTTCTGTTTCAGCTCCTTTCAAAGATGCTCAGCAGGGTTCAGGGCTCCTAGGGGCCCCTACAGACAGTCCAATGTTTTCTTCTCAGCTGTTCTTGGCTGCCTCTGTGTTTTGGCTCCTCATCCTGTTGAAGACGCATGAGCTGCTTTCTGACACTGCAGAACATTTCTCTCTATGATCCCCAATAGTCTGGAGATTTCATTGGACCCTGCAGAGATTCAGATGAAGCAAAGCAGCCCAGAGCATAACGGAGCCTCCTCCATGTTTCACTGTAGGGACACTGATCTTGTCTAGATCTGTGAACATTAGATCTGATGTTTCTTGGCTAAAAGCTCCATGTTTGTCTCATCTGTCCATAGTGGGGTCAGTTTTATGATTTGTTTCCATGGATGTTCCAAAAAAGTTAAAAACAATCCACTGGACTTTGTTTGCCAGTTTGAAGACGTTTCTCTTACATCCAGGAAGATTTTTCTATTCCAAATGTCAGAAATAGCGTTTAGTTCCAGGTTTTATCCAGCAGACCAGCAAAAAACGGATGAACGGGTCCCCCCCCGACTTCTTTTGTTAGACAGCAGTGCCCCATACTGTACCCATATAAGTATCTGAAAGGTCGATCATTAAAGGGGATTGTCGGACTGGCTGTACGGTGGGTGGAGCTGCGATAATAACAGGAAGAGATTAACTAAATAGCTGCATTGTAAGTTTTAGAAATCTGAGCCCCCCCCCCACCCCCTGTTTAAGGTTGGTTCCTCTTTCTTAACATAGATGGCTTCCTTCACGCCCCTCTCAAACCACCTGTCTTCTTTGTCCAAAATGTGGACATTCTGGTCCTCCAGAGAATGTCCTTCGTCCATCAGGTGTAGATGTTTCCATGAATGGTGTCATGTCTCATTAAGTCCCCTTTGGACTGAATCTGACGTTCATTCAGCTCAAAGTTTAACATGTAAATCATAAATTAACTGAGACATCATATCAGTAATGATGCTGCAAACAAAGAGTAGCCTAATTAATAAATGGAAAGTTTTCTCGTTGGCAGCGCTGAGGTGTTATAACCATGATATACCAGAACGTATGACATGATTTATTACTTAAACATCCATAAGAATCATCTGAGACACGGAACCGAAAAAACGTTTTAAAAGACAGATTATTGCCAGAAGTTCAGCAGGAGCGGCTCTGCAGCTTCCAATCGGTGCTGCCCCCACTCATTTCTGAATCTGTCTGAAAGCAAAGCAGTGCGCCTTCATCTGCTGCGTTCAGTTTGCACGCTAGCCATACCTTCTGTCATTGTTCTCCACTTTGCTAGCCTTTAACCAAGACTAATGAAATTATTTCCCTTTGCGCCTGCAGGGAAATTCCATGTCCTGAATAATTAGATGTTTTCCAGAACTTTTTATAATTATTTCAATTAATGGATGAAAGCACAACATCTGATTTAACTGTTTCACCCAAAGAGAACCTGTTAATTTATTTTAAGACTTATTCAATAGTGGTTTTATTTTGGGGTTCAAGAGTCGATCATGTGGCTAAAAGCAGATTTTTCTTCTTTATATTGAATTTAATCCATTTCCATGCGTAATTCAGCAGACTGACATATTTTTAATTAGCCATAAAACGAATACGTTGTCTTTGAGGCCAGGAGTAAACTCCGAGTTCGAGGAGGAAATGACACCTTACTTTGTTCATCTGGTGTTCATCATCTCCCTGTTTTCTGATTGGATAGTAGCATCCTCAGTAATTTTAAATGCTGTCTCAACCCCAGGCTAGATAAATGTCATACTGGGTCAAGACCTAATGCTCATTTTAGTCAGTCAGTTCTGGGCTCCTGTATGATTTAAATCTCATCGCCACCTGGAGGGCCTTTCACCCTACAGAGACAAACAATATTCATTTGATTCTGCACAAATCCTCCTCCAGGATTGATTATTTTTTTCACTCTTAGTCATGCCCTTTCAAAAGTGCTTTCATGCTCAATGGCTAATATTGTTATTTCAGTCCATGCTCCTTTGTTTCTGGTCATGTTTACTAAAGAACAGCGCCCTCCGCCACAGTGGCATTTTAAAAAATCACCTACTTAAAAATCTGGATGTTATAAAATACTTTACTGAGCAATTCAAGTTCTTTTTGGCTGAGAATGATTCTCCAGAAGTCTCTCCCAATGTCCTCTAGGGGCATTAGAGTATCTTTTTCTGCTCATCTCAGGCACAGGAAGCGGGCAGAACAGCTGAATTTTGAACAACAATTAAAGAAACTTCAGAGAGAATTTCATATCAATCCTTCCAGTGACTTAAGATCTCACATTGACGCCATAAAAGCAGCTCTGGAAACACTTTTGTCATCAGAGGCTCAGAAATCCCTGTTTGTTGCTAAACATAGAGTGTATGAGTTTGGGAACAAGTCCGAGAAATACTTGGCAAACTTGGTTAAGTCCACAACTAACTCACAAGCTATTTCTGCAGTAAAAGATGAGTCAGGTAAAGTAGTCCTTTAAAGTAAGGACATTGATGGATGTTTTCTAAGGTTTTATGAAACAAATCTGAATCTTAGCCTCAGTCTGAGTCCCTGAGGAAGAACTTTCTGTCAGCCATCGCTCTGCCTCAGGCTTCGCAGACCCAGAAAGATTAAACGCTCTATCTCACCAGAGGAAGTCATTGCAGCTATTAAGAATACTTTGGTATAGAAGTGAGGACGACATATCGGTGGAGCATAAACATTTAAATAAGAAACAGTGTCACCATGTAGAAACCCTGAGATCATTATGTAATGTCCAACTTTATCACTTGACCGTCACCTCAGTCAGAGGCAAGGATTTATGGATCAGGAAAGCAACCCCTCTGCTCCTCGATGTAAAGGAGGAGTCAAACATCTGACCGACCCGCTCTCTCTCTAATTTCTGCTGTTCCTCATTACTCAGGTGGGTCTCTTGGATGAAAGTTATTTGTACCATTTCGTTCTTAAAGAAGTTAAGAACTTTCTTCTGTTTAACAGGGCTCTGAATCCGTGCACATTCCATGAGCAGCTTAATTGTGGAACTATCAACCAACTGAATGCCTGCCGGAGATATCAAGAAACAAAAAACCAAGAAAAACACAGATGTGTGGGAAATAAAAACTATATAAAAATAACAACCCCCCCAGTATTTCCCCAGATGAAGCACATTGGACTTTTTGCCATCGAAGGCGTCACAAACCCAACTGTTGTCCAGTTGAGCTCACTCTGTGAACGTCTGCCAACAGCATGATTTACCCACCAACACCTCATGAGGATCAACTGAATTTCAAATGTATTTGATTTTCTCCTGACCTTGCAATTCATGATCAGGAGGTCATGGGCGGGGCTAATAACCCCTTGTTAGCCCCTGTATACTACACGATGCAGAATGCACCATGAGGCTGAAACTCGGCCCCATCCACAAAATTCTCACAGGACTAAAGAATTGGCCCAAAAGATGCAAAAACTCATACAGCGTACGCCTAGGTTTAGTGGACTGGCAAGGATTTGAGCCTGAGCAGTATTTCTGGGTTCATCCTTTAATTTTGGACCATGGTCCTGTCTGGTTGGTTTGTTGATCTTGCAGGGAGTGTGGCTGCATACACCATGGTGCTGCAGACACCTGCAACCCTTCAGCTCATCGTCCTCTGGGTGTCCTGATCCAGCCCATCTCCTCCCTGCCTCCACCCTCTTCTCACTTTTCTGTGAATAGTCTGTTGAGACTATCCTCCTCCTACTACATCCTCCATGTAAAGATTATGCCCAAGGATGAAGCAGACCAGCCCTGGTCCATCATTCCCCCCCATGAATCTTTTCCATGATGGCCCATGAGAAAGGGGAGTGTTTGAGATGTTGTGATAAAATATATTCACAGCTGTGCTAGCAGTTAAAGGAAAAGCCCGAAAGAATAATCAATGGATCATTATTTATACCTAAAACTTTTGCTGTGATTAAATTAATTTAGGGTTTATTAGTACATTTTTTTTTAATAATTTTCATCGCAATCACTGAGTCTGGGAGCGGCCATTTTTGCCCAAATATAGTAGCCCCTCCCTCCTGCCATCTTCCAGCAGTGACGTCACGGTGCGGTAAGCCTAGCGCCATTCTCCCCGCTTTCCAAGCTAAATCAATGGGAACTACTAGACACATCTGCAATCAACAACAATTATTGAAGATTTCCAGAGGACTTCACCATTGAAATTCACCAGAGCTATAGTGAAACTGACAATGCCCACGTGCATGGCAGCTGGATGCTGGAATACATCGGGTAAAAGTGGAAAAAAGAGTTATTCCACCTTTCTGATTCCTGATCCTCCACGGACGGGTTGGTCGTTGGATCGCCAACTTGAAGAGGGAGGATTTGCCATCGAACTTCTGGCCAGAGAAAAAACCCGTAATATGTAGCCAACATTTGGAAGAAGAATGTTTTCAAGATGACTTGGATAATAGCGCGTTGTGACAAACACCAGATACAGCACTGGGACTTGATCAACAGCCGATACCGCACCGTGACGTCACTAACCAGTAGGTGGCAGTAGTGTTCTTTGACAGACATGGATGCCTCCAGTAAAGCACATTCACATGAAAATTACTCTGAATTAAAAACACTGATCATTGATTGAACAGGATGGAATCATTTAAAGTTTGGATTCTGAAAATGATAAATCTGTTATTATGAATGAACTGAACTTCTCTGATCTATTTAAATACATAATATTGTTAGTGTGACTTTAGTGATTGTAATAAATATTTTAAAATCCTCTAATTTACTGATATCGGTTTCAATAACGGACTTATTAAAGCTTATTACAGTTTATTACACTGTAAGGACATTTTTAGCTGGAGTTAAAGGAAACTGAGCAGGAAATGAGACCTTGTTGGATTGAAGTGGCCTCAGTTATATTTGTTCTTCTGCCAGGAGTTTGATCAAGTTGCCCAATAATGTTATGTAAACAACACTTTTTTTCTACCTATGTACCAACTGTGCAAGATTCTGGTTTATTTGAAGGATTTAGGTTTCATTTTGATCAGGAAACATTCAGTATAATTAGCATATTTGAATGTTTTATTCCCAAACAGGTCATGAAAAAAGGAAATACTTGCACCTCTTTTGGTCTAAACTGAGACTAAACAACTCAAAGATGTATGGTAAACCCCACAGATATTTATTATTCTGCACTTCCTGTGTCAGATTATGTATCCTGAGAAGTTAATCAATAGTCAGGTCACTAATTCAGGAGCCTGACAGGAAGTGCTCCCCCACAGATACCATTACTGATATTAATTCTGTCTGCGGATGGGATAGGGTCACAGGAGTGCCAGAGCTCTGAATGGTGATAAACTGACCTTTTAGGCCATCCTCATCCTGTTTAACCCCCCCCCCCCCGCCGATCTTATTTATAAGACGGCAGTCCTGGTGGGGGATGGGGTTCGGGGCTAATTGCTTTAACGAGGATCTGGTGGCTTTATTTCACACTTGCCTCTTATTTTTCAGACGACAGGAAGCATGTGGGAAACGTTTCCTGAAGCCTTTTTATCAAACCTTCTTTCTGTGGTTAATGAGACAAAGATTTTAAAAGTGTTTGTTGATGAGCATTCATAAAGTTTATTATCTTTTCTGATACCAACATTTGATTTCCATCTCAGACTTTGGTAAATAGATCCTACAATCAATCAGAGTCCCAGAAAGTCGAGCTGCTGTGGGAATATTAAATAACTTAAAAAAATAATAATAATACCTTGAAGGCTACTTTCTCTATGCATGGTATAAAATAAATATTCCTCATTTCTAAATATTTAGCTGGAATTCCTTTATGAATGAGGTTTAGGGGAATTGCATAGACTTTTCTAAGCCATTTCGTTTTCCATGCGTATCATATGTCTGCTTCTCTGCCCCCCCTTTCCCTGTAATCAATGGGGAGTGGTGCTGGAAGGGGCGGCTACAGCAGGTTGGCTCTCTGTGATTCGCTGACTTGCACTCTAATTGGATCATGTAGGAACTTGCTTAGCTGGATGCTTTGTGCTTGGATTGGGAGAAGCCTGCAAAGACAGAGGAAGTGAAGCGGAGAGGGAGGAGGCCGGCGGCTGCTGTGCACTCTAGTTGGAGAGAAAAGGCAGAGAGAGGAGGAGTGAGAGAGGAAAGAAGGGGAGTATCCAGCCTCCTCTGACCCACTGTGCTACTGCAGCCCCCCGCCCTCTCTCTAGGATTCTCTTTCTTTCTCTTTTTTTCCCTTACTCATCTGTTTCTCTGGCTGCTCTGAGAGGAAGGACACCTGCCGCTCCCAGATGATTCAGCCTTTCAGCAGCTTGGAGGACTTTATAGAAGACAGCATGTCCGTCCTGCCACTGCAGTGCCTGGCCAGCCTGTCCTTGATGATACAGTTTCTGCAGCCGGCCCATCACATCGACACCGCCCCTTCTCCTTCCCCTGACAAAGTCTTCAGGTGAGTCACAGCTACTTTTCAGTTGCTGCTCACGACTCAACCAGGCAGAACATTCGTGCATATTTTTCCCTGCAGATTTATGGACTTCTGTACAACTCCGTGATTCTATATGTTGTTCAACCCTTGAGTAAAAAGCTGCTTTTCCTTGGATGCAGGTCGGCCACCTGCCTCGTGGAAAGCTGTCAGGCTTTCAGACTCTGAAGGGCATTTCGCTCTGCCGTCCTCTGAAATCTGTCCTCTGATGTTGGAGAACCGATCCCTGACTCCAGAGGCAGACCACGGTCGTGTGATGCCCTGTTTTATTGGTAGAAGCATTCAGGGACACCTCATCCAACAGTTCATCAGGGATGACTGAGGGAATGGAGGACTACTCTCCTGAAACAGCCTCCCCCACTGGCCCTCCTCCTGATACAGGACCAGTCCCAGAGGAGAAACCAGAGGAGACGGAGGCAGCTGGCGAGAGTGCGGATGAGGGTGTAAAGGGAATTACAGAGGAAGGCCGTGACGACGGGGAGCAGGAGGGCGCTTTGGAGATGGTGGCTCTGCCTGCGACCTGCTGCGTGTGCATAGAGATGGAGCAGATCAACCGGTGCCTGCACTCCGAGAAGATCTGCATCCTGCCCATCTTGGCCTGTCTGCTCAGCCTAGCTCTTTGCACAGCTGGACTCAAATGGGTCTTTGTGGATAAGATCTTTGAGTACGAACCGCTAACTCAATTAGACCCTAAACCCATCGGACAGGACCCCATCACTATATTGGTAAACCCCGCGCTAGGAATCACTGTCTCAATTCCTCACTCCGCTCCCTCCACTGTCTCCCTGACAACCACCATTGCCATCACACCAGGATATCCGGAGGTCTACGAGAAAGACAGATCTACAGCAAGGCCATTTGTGCCTCAGTCTCCTAAAGTGACATATCCTACTGTGAGCCTGAAATACGAAGGACATTCTACGGTTCCAAAGCCGAGCTCCAACCCACAAACCACACAGGACTTCAACAAACTCATACACACTATCTGTGAGTACCCAGCATCCTCTTCATTACATTCTCTTCCTCTCCCTTTTCTACCTGCTGTCTTTAAAAATGGTGGTTTAGGATTCAGAGTTACCCAAAGAAGCTCTGAATTACACTGAATTATTTAAAAGTTCTTCAGTCATTATGTTTCCTCCTCAGAACAACACATTTTCTGTTTCTGCCCCAATCAAGTTAATGATAATGGAGGAGATCAGTCTACAGAAAGGGCCCTCAGGTCTAGATCTGGCCCTCAGCCCAAGTTCAGGCCCTTTGGACTGGATTTAGCCCTTTAGCCCAAGGTTAGGTCCTCAGAACTGGATGAAACCCTCAGGTCTGGATTGGGCCCTCAGGTCTGGATTGAACCCTCAGGTCTGGTTTGGGCCCTCAGGTCTGGATCGAATCCTCAGGTCCGGATTGGGCCCTCAGGTCTGGATCGAACCCTCAGGTCTGGTTTGGGCCCTCAGGTCTGGATCGAATCCTCAGGTCCAGATTGGGCCCTCAGGTCTGGATCGAACCCTCAGGTCTGGTTTGGGCCCTCAGGTCTGGATCGAATCCTCAGGTCCGGATTGGGCCCTCAGGTCTGGATCGAACCCTCAGGTCTGGTTTGGGCCCTCAGGTCTGGATCGAATCCTCAGGTCCAGATTGGGCCCTCAGGTCTGGATCGAACCCTCAGGTCTGGTTTGAGCCCTCAGCCCAAGTCCGGTCCCTTAGGTCTGGATCAAACCCTCAGGTCTGGATCAAATCCTCAGCCCAAGGTCTGGCCCTCAGGTCTGGATCAGGCCCTCAGGTCTGGATCAAGCCCTCAGGTCTAGATCAAGCCCTCAGCCCAAGGTCCGGCCCTCAGGTATGGATCAAGCCCTCAGTCCAAGTTCAGGTGCTCAGGTCTAGATTGAGCCCTCAGTTCTGGATTGGGCCCTCAGCCCAAGTTCAGGCCCTCTGGTCTGGATTTAGCCCTTTAGCCCAAGGTCGGGTCCTCAGGTCTGGATCAGGCCCCTAAGGTCTACATCAGGCCCTCAGGTCTGGATCGGGCCTCTAAGGTCTAGATCGGGCCCTCAGGTCTAGATCAGGCCCTCTGGTCTGGATTTAGTCCTTTAGCCCAAGGTCGGATCCTCAGGTCTGGATCAAACCCTCAGGTCTGGATTGGGCCCTTAGGTCTGGATCAGGCCCTCAGGTCTTGATCAAGCCCTCAGCTCAAGTTCAGGCCCGTCAGGTCTAGATTGAGCCCTCAGGTCTGGATCGAGCTCTCAGGTCTAGACCGGGCCCTCAGGTCTAGACCGGACCCTCAGGTCTAGGTCGGGCCCTCAGGTCTGGCTCGGGCCCTCACGTCTGGATCGGGCCCTCAGGTCTGGCTCGGGCCCTCAGGTCTGGATCGGGCCCTCAGGTCTGGCTCGGGCCCTCAGGTCTGGATCGGGCCCTCAGGTCTAGACCGGGCCCTCAGGTCTAGATTGGACCCTCAGGTCTAGGTCGGGCCCTCAGGTCTGGCTCGGGCCCTCAGGTCTGGCTCGGGCCCTCAGGTCTGGCTCGGGCCCTCACGTCTGGATCGGGCCCTCAGGTCTGGATTGGGCCCTCAGGTCTGGCTCGGGCCCTCAGGTCTGGATCGGGCCCTCAGGTCTGGATTGGGCCCTCAGGTCTGGCTCGGGCCCTCAGGTCTGGATCGGGCCCTCAGGTCTAGACCGGGCCCTCAGGTCTAGATTGGACCCTCAGGTCTAGGTCGGGCCCTCAGGTCTGGCTCGGGCCCTCAGGTCTGGATCGGGCCCTCAGGTCTGGATCGGGCCCTCAGGTCTGGCTCGGGCCCTCAGGTCTGGATCGGGCCCTCAGGTCTAGACCGGGCCCTCAGGTCTAGATTGGACCCTCAGGTCTAGGTCGGGCCCTCAGGTCTGGCTCGGGCCCTCAGGTCTGGCTCGGGCCCTCAGGTCTGGATCGGGCCCTCAGGTCTGGATCGGACCCTCAAAGACAGCAACTTGTTTTGTTGCTTGTCTCTCAGCTGTATTTTCTCTGAACCAAAGCATGCTGGGACATGTAGGGAGCAAAATGCGGGCCCCTGGCCGGCCTCCCAACTGTTGCTACACAGATAGGCGTGGAGGAAGAAGACAAACACTCTTAATCTCTTAATCCCAACATGGATTAGATCCACTTCTGTAAACTAATGTGTGTTGAAGACTCCAACGAATTCAGCAAGAGCAGCTGGACCATTACTGGCTGCTTTAAACTAGCTGGAAGGTCAGAGGCTCATCATCCCAGACTTTAGAGTCCAAGATGGCTGCCTCTTGGATTTTAAGTAAAAGCGGAAAACAAGCATCTTTTATGCTAGCATCTTTCTCACACGGTGCGACCCGGGACAGTACAGCATCATTGGTGGTCATTGCAAAAGAGAGACATTGCTTGTTAGGTTGTTTCTTTGGTATTTAAGTTGATAACTGAATAAAATAATAATGAAATCCAGCAAACTGTTGGTTTCAACACTTCCATGTCTAAGCTGGGTTATCCATCCATCCATCCATCCATCCATTATCCATCCATCCATCCATCCATCCATTATCCATCCATCCATCCATCCATCCATCCATCCATCCATCCATCAATCCATTATCCATCCATCCATCCATCCATCCATTATCCATCCATCCATCCATCAATCCGTCATCCATCCATCCATCCATCCATCCATCCATCCATTATCCATCCATCCATCCATCCATCCATTATCCATCCATTATCCATCCATCCATCCATCCATCCATTATCCATCCATCCATCCATCCATCCATCATCCATCCATCCATCCATCCATCCATCCATCCATCCATCCATCAATCCATTATCCATCCATCCATCCATCCATCCATTATCCATCCATCCATCCATCAATCCGTCATCCATCCATCCATCCATCCATCCATCCATCCATCCATCCATTATCCATCCATCCATCCATCCATCCATTATCCATCCATTATCCATCCATCCATCCATCCATCCATCCATTATCCATCCATTATCCATCCATCCATCAATCCATTATCCATCCATCCATCCATTATCCATCCATCCATCCATTATCCATCCATCCATCCATCCATCCATCCATCCATTATCCATCCATTATCCATCCATCCATCCATCAATCCATTATCCATCCATTATCCATCCATCCATCCATCAATCCGTCATCCATCCATCCATCCATCCATCCATCCATCCATCCATCCATTATCCATCCATCCATCCATCCATCCATTATCCATCCATCCATCCATCCATCCATCCATCCATTATCCATCCATTATCCATCCATCCATCCATCCATCCATCCATTATCCATCCATCCATCCATCCATCAATCCGTCATCCATCCATCCATCAATCCGTCATCCATCCATCCATCCATCCATCCATCCATCCATCCATCAATCCATTATCCATCCATTATCCATCCATCCATCCATCAATCCATTATCCATCCATCCATCCATCCATCCATCCATTATCCATCCATCCATCCATCCATCCATCCATCCATCCATCAATCCATTATCCATCCATCCATCCATCAATCCATCCATCAATCCGTCATCCATCCATCCATCCATCCATCCATCCATCCATCCATCATCCATCCATTATCCATCCATCCATCCATCCATCCATCCATCCATCAATCCATTATCCATCCATCCATCCATCCATCAATCCATTATCCATCCATCCATCCATCCATCCATCCATCAATCCATTATCCATCCATCCATCCATCCATCCATCCATCAATCCATTATCCATCCATCCATCCATCCATCCATCAATCCATTATCCATCCATCCATCCATCCATCCATCCATCCATCCATCCATCCATCCATTATCCATCCATTATCCATCCATCCATCCATCCATCCATCCATCCATCCATCCATCCATTATCCATCCATTATCCATCCATCCATCCATCCATCCATCCATCAATCCGTCATCCATCCATCCATCCATCCATCCATCCATCCATCCATCCATCCATCCATCAATCCATTATCCATCCATTATCCATCCATCCATCAATCCGTCATCCATCCATCCATCCATCCATCCATCCATCCATCCATCCATTATCCATCCATCCATCCATCCATTATCCATCCATTATCCATCCATCCATCCATCCATCCATTATCCATCCATTATCCATCCATCCATCCATCAATCCATTATCCATCCATCCATTATCCATCCATCCATCCATTATCCATCCATCCATCCATCCATTATCCATCCATTATCCATCCATCCATCCATCCATCCATCCATCAATCCATTATCCATCCATTATCCATCCATCCATCCATCAATCCGTCATCCATCCATCCATCCATCCATCCATCCATCCATTATCCATCCATCCATCCATCCATCCATTATCCATCCATTATCCATCCATCCATCCATCCATCCATCCATCCATCCATCCATTATCCATCCATTATCCATCCATCCATCCATCCATCCATCCATCCATTATCCATCCATCCATCCATCAATCCGTCATCCATCCATCCATCCATCCATCCATCCATCCATCAATCCATTATCCATCCATTATCCATCCATCCATCCATCAATCCATTATCCATCCATCCATCCATCCATCCATCCATCCACTATCCATCCATCCATCCATCCATCCATCCATCAATCCGTCATCCATCCATCCATCCATCCATCCATCCATCCATCAATCCATTATCCATCCATTATCCATCCATCCATCCATCAATCCGTCATCCATCCATCCATCCATCCATCCATCCATCCATCCATCCATCCATCCATCCATCCATTATCCATCCATCCATCCATCCATCCATCCATTATCCATCCATTATCCATCCATCCATCCATCCATCCATTATCCATCCATTATCCATCCATCCATCCATCCATCCATCAATCCATTATCCATCCATCCATCCATTATCCATCCATCCATCCATTATCCATCCATCCATCCAT